TTATCGATCCCAATTGCGTGGATCGATGCTCATGATATTAATCACTGGATTGTCTGATCCAGACTCGATTATTTACAGACCGCCGTCATATAGCTGTAATATTGCTGAGTGCGGCGTTAAACAACAAACCAACCAACTTACATGTGTATAATTTACGCAAAGCCATACCTGAGTACATTTGCAGGTGGTGCAAACCTTGCACCTATTTGGATTGGGTTTACTCAGGCCTACCAAAGAATACCACTGAGAGCTACCAAACTATAGTATGTGTACTTTAATAGAAATAGCCACACAAATTACAGAGACACAATCCCCATAAAGATTGCATCGTTATGATAAGAACTCATTGGAAGCACATTTTCATTGGAAGCAAACGCAATATTCAAATCACGCAGTCCGCAACAAAAGGTTATACACTGCGTGATTAACTTTGCTTGGTTCCATAGTTTGGTCGCTCTCTGTTGGTTTCCTTTGGTAGGCCTGTTACTGTGTCCACGACAATAGTCGGTCTTAAAATGTTCCCGGACCCGTGAAGATCCGGGTTAGAGTAGGTCTTCAGCAACCCATGCTTGCCGAAAAGGCGACTGTGCTTGTCGTAAGAGGCGACTAACGGGATCGGGGGGTCAGGCTCGCTGACTTGGTTGATGCATGTCATCGTATTCCAATTGCGTGGATCGATGCTCATGATGTCAATCACTGGATTGTTTGGTCAAGATTTGACTATTTACAGACCGCCGTCATACAGCTGGAATATTGCTGAGTGCGGCGTTAAACAACAACAAACAAAGCATGGCCATGGCCAGTGTCGGGTAGCTGTTCGTGCAGAACACTATAGCATAAACCAGTTCGACCTGTGCAACCAACAGCTGTACACCACTGAGGACATATGAGGTGGGCCTCCAAGTGCGGTGGTCAGGAATTTGCCATGAAGTGTATTTGTGCAGTAAGTGGCATAAGTATCAGACAAATAGATGCAAATGTTGCAAGGCAGGTTTAGGACCCACCAACCAACGCGGGGTGGGGTGGGTGGGGTGTGGGGGGGTTGGTGCACGGGTGGCCCAGTCGTCTAAGGCGCCGCGTTTCGCTGTGCAGAGTTGCGTCCCTTGGCCACGCCAGAAACCTATGATTGTGGGTTCGAATCACGGTTCGCCCCGATTATGTTTCTAGGTTTGTCAGCACCAAACCAGGGCTCGTGGGTTTCACCGAAGTGGTAAACGTCAGAGACCTGCATCACTTCGGGCTTTCCTCCCACATTAAGCTGACACGCCGTGATATAACTGGAATACTGTTAAAAGCGGCGTTAAACCCAACTCACTCACTCACTCACTCACTCACTCACTCACTCACTCACTCACTCACTCACTAACTACAACGCCAGGTGTCACTCCAGTCTTACATGTACCAAAAAGAACTGTAAACATGTTTGAACAAGCAATCTATTCATTGTTGAAACATTTTTAATTACTTACAAAAGTTTCTTTGATCTCCGAAGTAAAAATGGTTACAGGCCGGCAAAGCCACATTTCGAAAATAGATAGCCCAAATTGATGTGGCTCTCGCGGCAATGGTTATGGTTGCGTGATTGTATAATGTGGCTCTCGCGGCTATGCTGTCAAAACATGCTTTGTGATTCTAACAGGTTACCGTATATAACAAAACAAGTCTTGTTTTCTCTTTTTTATTCAACAAGGATAACAGTAACATATTCATCAAAACTTTACATTGATGAATATGAATAGCATATGAATAGCATAATGGATTTAATGTCATTACTGCAGAAGAAAGGGGGTCGCCGACGTGGTCAGCATATTCCATCTCACTCAGGTGTTGGTTCAGGAGCTGGATCTTGAGGGACGCAATAGCCATTTCTGAAATGTGGCTCTCCCGGCTAGACACCGTTAAAATAGATCCAAATAAAAATGAGGATATTGAATCCAGATGTCTAATTCACTTCAGTCAATCTGCCTTAAATCCTCTCTCGTTTTTCAGGTAATATATATATCGACCTAGAATTTCTGTCAATATACATATCGACCTAAATTTCAGTCAATATACATATTGCCTGATTATAGACATTCACTGTGATATAAATAATGGAACTAAGTATGTGTGTGATACACAATAAGTAATTATATATGCATATATGTAAAATAACACGTCTCGGTTCTCGTGTATGTTTATGTATATCTATGTGTAAATGTACCACAAGTTCATGTATGTTTATGTATATCTATGTGTGAATGTACCACAAATTCATGTATGTTTATGTATATCTATGTGTGAATGTACCACAAATTCATGTATGTTTATGTATATCTATGTGTAAATGTACCACAAATTCATGTATGTTTATGTATATCTATGTGTGAATGTACCACAAATTCATGTATGTTTATGTATATCTATGTGTGAATGTACCACAAATTCATGTATGTTTATGTATATCTATGTGTAAATGTACCACAAATTCATGTATGTTTATGTATATCTATGTGTAAATGTACCACAAATTCATGTATGTTTATGTATATCTATGTGTGAATGTACCACAAATTCATGTATGTTTATGTATATCTATGTGTGAATGTACCACAAATTCATGTATGTTTATGTATATCTATGTGTAAATGTACCACAAATTCATGTATGTTTATGTATATCTATGTGTGAATGTACCACAAATTCATGTATGTTTATGTATATCTATGTGTAAATGTACCACAAATTCATGTATGTTTATGTATATCTATGTGTAAATGTACCACAAATTCATGTATGTTTATGTATATCTATGTGTAAATGTACCACAAATTCATGTATGTTTATGTATATCTATGTGTAAATGAACCACAAATTCATGTATGTTTATGTATATCTATGTGTAAATGAACCACAAATTCATGTATGTTTATGTATATCTATGTGTAAATGAACCACAAATTCATGTATGTTTATGTATATCTATGTGTAAATGTACCACAAATTCATGTATGTTTATGTATATCTATGTGTGAATGTACCACAAATTCATGTATGTTTATGTATATCTATGTGTAAATGTACCACAAATTCATGTATGTTTATGTATATCTATGTGTGAATGTATCACACATTCATGTATGTTTATGTATATCTATGTGTCAATGAACCACAAATTCATGTATGTTTATGTATATCTATGTGTAAATGAACCACCAATTCATGTATGTTTATGTATATCTATGTGTAAATGAACCACAAATTCATGTATGTTTATGTATATCTATGTGTAAATGTATCACAAATTCATGTATGTTTATGTATATCTATGAGGAAATGTACCACAAATTCATGTATGTTTATGTGTATCTATGTGTAAATGAACCACAAATTCATGTATGTTTATGTATATCTATGTGTAAATGTATCACAAATTCATGTATGTTTATGTATTTCAGCATGTGTGAATGTACCACAAACTCATGTATGTTTATGTATATCTATGAGGAAATGTACCACAAATTCATGTATGTTTATGTGTATGTATGTGTAAATGAACCACAAATTCATGTATGTTTATGTATATCTATGTGTAAATGTATCACAAATTCATGTATGTTTATGTATATCTATGAGGAAATGTACCACAAATTCATGTATGTTTATCTATTTCTGTATGTGTAAATGTACCACAAATTCATGTATGTTTATGTATATCTATGAGGAAATGTACCACAAATTCATGTATGTTTATCTATTTCTGTATGTGTAAATGTACCACAAATTCATGTATGTTTATGTATATCTATGTGTAAATGAACCACAAATTCATGTATGTTTATGTATATCTATGTGTAAATGAACCACAAATTCATGTATGTTTATGTATATCTATGTGTAAATGAACCACAAATTCATGTATGTTTATCTATTTCTGTATGTGTAAATGTACCACAAATTCATGTATGTTTATGTGTATCTATGTGTAAATGAACCACAAATTCATGTATGTTTATGTATATCTATGTGTAAATGTATCACAAATTCATGTATGTTTATGTATTTCAGCATGTGTGAATGTACCACAAACTCATGTATGTTATGTATTTCTGTAGGTGTGAATGTGACACTAATTCATTTATGTTTATGTATTTCTGTATTTGTAAATGTACCACAAATTCATGTATGTTTATGTATTTCTGTATGTGTGAGTGTACCAAAAATTCATGTATGTTTATGTATTTCTGTAGGTGGGAATGTGACACAAATTCATGTATCTTTATGTATTTCTGTATTTGTGAATGTACCAAAAATTCTTGTATGTTTATGTAATTCTGTATGTGTAAATGTACACGAAAATGCCTGTATGTTTATGTTTTTATGTGTGTGGGAATGTATATCACTTAAGTAAAACGAATAATCAATATATATTGACTATAAACTAAGCAGCTTGTTTTGGTTTTCAATCTAATATTTGACTATCACTCACTCGTTATAATAACCTATTTTCAACACAATTAGACGGTTACTGGATGCAAATTGCCATATCGCAAAATAAAGCCTTCTTATCCAAAAAGCTATATGCCTCGGTAACAAAAATAAAATTTATTAATTGACTATTAGTTACTTCATTAATTTTTCAATATAATCATAACACGTGAATTATGCAATTTTGTATGGGACCGAAGTAAAGGACCTTTAAAATATAACCCATATTGTTTACTTAATGGTAAATGTGTCCTGCGATTTTTGTAAATCTATTCTTTTGAATTTTTTACATTGGGCGTGCCCCCCGTATAACGTACTTAAACTGACCGGTCCTGACTGATACCGGTGTAAATAAACTGACACCGTGTTTAAGAGGGTATTCTAGTGGGACGTGAGCTATACAAAAAGCCATCCATATATCAGCTATGCTGGCGGGGGTTCAACCTCGTCTTGGGATAACGCTGCGGTACAATGCTCTCATTGATGACAACGTACCCTGCTTGGACGAATATACATCGAATATACATCCACCCGGTCAATCTACCCTGTTATATCATATCCACACTCGCCCGTTTATATTCACCGAAACACGCACAGACCCGGACGTGCTATTCTAAACCCGTTGTGTTATCTCATGTTAACTTTTTTTACAAAATATAGGACCTTTGAAAACATGCTTTCACAGGACACTTAAGTTAGGCACAGGGGACGACGGCCAACTCACACAAGCAGCCAGACAAGGCCGGGTCGTGGATGATGTGATTGAGCGTTGTGTTACGGTTCTATAAACAATAGTCAACCATGGACTTTAAACAGTATACCCGCTGCTTACAACGATCTAATTAGTGCACTGTTAAACAAGAAGCAAAGCAAAAGCTTCATCAACCCACCACTCTCTTTTGAGTACCTGAGTAAGTAACATCGTCTTGCTTGTTGTGTTGGCTTGTCATGTTCAAGGGTCGAAGTCCTCGATGTTCAGTAATGTCCCACTTAGACTGGGGGGGGGGGGGGGGGGGGGGGAGCTTTTGTAATAGGAACGTTAACACGACAACCTGCTCTGCAAGCTTGATCTCACAGTTTAGCGGATCTGAGGGCGTGAGCCAGGACAGATAATGCCAGATATTGTACGAACGTCTTTTCCTGTTATTTCCTGTTCCTCTCTACTACCGCTTTAATGCAGTCGGGGGCGAGTGTGACTGCACACAGTCTGTCTCATTGATCAATGTCCTGTATCTTATCGATACCAACACCAATTCACCAGATAAAGGACTATTATTTAGCATTGACTCATACTGAGAAGGTGGTGACGTTTTGACTGCACTGAAAAGGTAACAGAACCTTTTTACCGTATTTGAAACTTGTATTATCACTATTGCATTTTTAATATTCCAGGGGTTCATTATTGGAGAAGTACTTTACTCCTTTGAGCTCCGTCAGTATTAACCCGATGGTGATGTGACGTGTCCATTGTTCTGTTAAGTAGGCATTGACGCATGATGTAATCTGGCGAGAGTGTGTCATTAATCTATCAGTATTTACAATGAGCAATGCGGATATATGGGTTGATTTCGAGGGCCATTAAACACACTTCTGTATGTATAGTAAGCAATACCTGTATGTCGTTTGATGTATAGGATCATTAGACTAACTATCCAGTATTTACACTTAGTATTACTTATATGTCAGCTGATGTAGAGACCATTTAACTAACTGTATTTACAATTAACAATACTTGTGCAGTCTAGTGTAGAGAAGTTTTGAATAACAGTCCAAACAGAATTTACGGTTATCAGTGCGTATACAAGCCGATGTGGAGATATTTAAACGAACAGTTCAGAATTTACAGTTATCAGTGCGTATATAAGCTGATGTGGAGATATTTAAACGAACAGTTTAGAATTTACAGTTATCAGTGCGTATATAAGCTGATTTGGAGATATTTAAACAAACAGTTCAGAATTTACAGTTATCAGTGCATATATAAGCTGATGTGGAGATATTTAAACGAACAGTTCCGAATTTACAGTTATCAGTGCGTATATAAGCTTATGTGGAGATATTTTAACTAACAGTTCAGAATTTACAGTTATCAGTGCGTATATAAGCTGAGGTGGAGATATTTAAACTAACAGTTCAGAATTTACAGTTATCAGTGCATATGTAAGCTGATGTGGAGAGATTTAAACAAACAGTTCAGAATTTACAGTTATCAGTGATTATTTTGACTAATGCAGACAGATTTAAACTAACAGTTCAGAATTTACAGTTATCAGTGCGTATATAAGCTGAGGTGGAGATATTTAAACTAACAGTTCAGAATTTACAGTTACCAGTGCATATGTAAGCTGATGTGGAGAGATTTAAACAAACAGTTCAGAATTTACAGTTATCAGTGATTATTTTGACTAATGCAGACAGATTTAAACTAACAGTTCAGAATTTACAGTTATAAGCGGATGTGGAGAGATTTAAACAGTTCAGAATTTACAGTTATCAGTGCGTATATAAGCGGATGTGGAAATATTTAATCTTACTGTTCAGTTTTTACAGTTATCAGTGCGTATATGTGATGGGCCTGATGACCTTCTACTGACTCGATTTAAACTACTGAACAACTCGTTAGGGTCTAAATTGTATTGTAAAGGTTTTACGTACAATGAAGATGCAATAATGCTCAGAGTAAAATACGAATTAACCTGTCAATGTTGACAAAACATTAACTCGTTCTTGGTCGCCAAAGATTATGAAATAGTACTGCCTAAAAACTAAGGCCTAAATAGTACTGCCTACAGACAAAAGGCCTACATAGTGCTTCGTACAAACAAAAGGCCCGAAATAGTATGGCCTACAGACCAAAGGTCCTATTTAGTACTGCATACAGACCAAAGGAACTCAATAGTACTGCCTACAGATAAAGGCCCTACATAGTACTGCCTACAGATGAAAGGCCCTAAATATTACTGCATGTAGATCAAATGGCTCTAGTACTTCCTAGAGACTAAAGGCCCTACTTAGTAATGCCCGCAAACCACAGGCATTACATGGTACTGCCTCGAGACCAAGGGCCCTACATAGTACTGCCTACGGACAAAGGCCGTACACAGTACTGCCTACAGACGAAATGCCTTAAATAGTACTGCCTACAGACCAAAGGCCCGAAATAGTACTGCCTACAAATTAAAGGACACACATAGTACTGCCTAGAGATTAAAAGCCCTACATAGTAATGCCTTCAGACCAAAGGCCCTACATGGTACAGCCTACAGACCAAAGGCCCTAAATAGTACTGCCTGCAGATCAAGGGGCTCTAGTACTGCCTAGAGACTAAAGGCCCTACTTAGTAATCCCCGCAGATCACAGGCACTACATAGAACTGCCTAGAGACAAAGGGCCTTAAATAGTACTGCCTACAGACAAAGGCCCTAAATAATACTGCCTACAGACAAAGGCCCTAAATAGTAGTGCCTGCAGATCAAAGGGCACACATAGTACTGCCTAGAGATTAAAAGCCCTACATAGTAATGCCTGCAGACCCCAGACACTACATAGTAAAGCCTGCAGACCAATGGCCCTACGGAGTACTGCCTTCAGACCAAAGGCCCTACATGGTACTGCCTACAGACCAAAGGCCCTAAATAGTACTGCCTGCAGATCAAAGGGCTCTAGTACTGCCTAGAGACTAAAGGCCCTACTTACTAATGCCCGCAGATCACAGGCCCTACATAGAACTGCCTAGAGACCAAAGGCCTTAAATAGTACTGCCTAGAGATTAAAAGCCCTACACAGACAAAGGCCTTAAATAGTACTGCCTAGAGATTAAAAGCCCTACATAGTAATGCCTGCAGACCCCAGACACTACATAGTAAAGCCTGCAGACTAAAGGCCCTACGGAGTACTGCCTTCAGACCGAAGGCCCTACGGACTACTGCCTTCAGACCAATGGCCCTACATGGTACTGCCTACAGACCAAAGTCCCTAAATAGTACTGCCTAGAGACGTAAGACCCTACAGATCACAGGTACTACGTAGTAATGCATGCAGACTACATGCCCTACATAGTACTGTCTGTACAGACCAAAGGCCCTACATAGTACTGTCTGTACAGACCAAAGGCCCTGCATAGTACCGCCTATTGACCAAGGGCTCTAATAGTACATTGCTGTCTGTACAGACCAAAGGCCATACATAGTACCGCCTACTGACCAAGGGCTCTAATAGTACAGTACTGTCTGTACAGACCAAAGGCCTTACATAGTACCGCCTACTGACCAAGGGCTCTAATAGTACAGTACTGTCTGTACAGACCAAAGGCCCTACATGGTACCGCCTACTGACCAAGGGCTCTAATAGTACAGTACTGTCTGTACAGACCAAAGGCCTTACATAGTACCGCCTACTGACCAAGGGCTCTAATAGTACAGTACTGTCTGTACAGACAAAAGGCCTTACATAGTACCGCCTACTGACCAAGGGCTCTAATAGTACATTACTGTCTGTACAGACCAAAGGCCTTATATAGTACCGCCTACTGACCAAGGGCTCTAATAGTACAGTACTGTCTGTACAGACCAAAGGCCTTACATAGTACAGCCTACTGACCAAGGGCTCTAATAGTACAGTACTGTCTGTACAGACCAAAGGCCTTACATAGTACCGCCTACTGACCAAGGGCTCTAATAGTACAGTACTGTCTGTACAGACCAAAGGCCTTACATAGTACCGCCTACTGACCAAGGGCTCTAATAGTACAGTACTGTCTGTACAGACCAAAGGCCTTACATAGTACCGCCTACTGACCAAGGGCTCTAATAGTACAGTACTGTCTGTACAGACCAAAGGCCTTACATAGTACCGCCTACTGACCAAGGGCTCTAATAGTACAGTACTGTCTGTACAGACCATAGGCCTTACATAGTACCGCCTACTGACCAAGGGCTCTAATAGTACATTACTGTCTGTACAGACCAAAGGCCTTACATAGTACCGCCTACTGACCAAGGGCTCTAATAGTACATTACTGTCTGTACAGACCATAGGCCTTACATAGTACCGCCTACTGACCAAGGGCTCTAATAGTACAGTACTGTCTGTACAGACCAAACGCCTTACATAGTACCGCCTACTGACCAAGGGCTCTAATAGTACAGTACTGTCTGTACAGACCAAAGGCCTTACATAGTACCGCCTACTGACCAAGGGCTCTAATAGTACAGTACTGTCTGTACAGACCAAACGCCTTACATAGTACCGCCTACTGACCAAGGGCTCTAATAGTACAGTACTGTCTGTACAGACCATAGGCCATACATAGTACCGCCTACTGACCAAGGGCTCTAATAGTACAGTACTGTCTGTACAGACCAAAGGCCTTACATAGTACCGCCTACTGACCAAGGGCTCTAATAGTACAGTACTGTCTGTACAGACCAAAGGCCTTACATAGTACCGCCTACTGACCAAGGGCTCTAATAGTACATTACTGTCTGTACAGACAAAAGGCCATACATAGTACCGCCTACTGACCAAGGGCTCTAATAGTACATTACTGTCTGTACAGACCAAAGGCCTTACATAGTACCGCCTACTGACCAAGGGCTCTAATAGTACAGTACTGTCTGTACAGACCAAACGCCTTACATAGTACCGCCTACTGACCAAGGGCTCTAATAGTACAGTACTGTCTGTACAGACCAAACGCCTTACATAGTACCGCCTACTGACCAAGGGCTCTAATAGTACAGTACTGTCTGTACAGACCAAAGGCCTTACATAGTACCGCCTACTGACCAAGGGCTCTAATAGTACAGTACTGTCTGTACAGACCAAACGCCTTACATAGTACCGCCTACTGACCAAGGGCTCTAATAGTACAGTACTGTCTGTACAGACCAAACGCCTTACATAGTACCGC